GGGTATTAAGGAGGGCACATGTGGTGATGGGCACTGGGTGTTATATGCAACTAATGAATCGTGAAACACTACATCAAAAACTAATGATGTACTATATGCTGGTTAATTGAACATAATAATAAAATAAAATAAAAAATAAAATAAAATAAAATAAATATGTTGCAAAAATAAATAAAATAAAATAAAAAACATTAATCCCTTCAAAATGAAGCAAGTTCACAACTCAGATTTACTATTTACCACTTTAATAGCAATGTTGTAAGCTACATTAAAATCAGGACCCAAATCTTTGACCACCCAAATCTTTGTTTTTGAATATGTCTTTCCAGATTAAAGAAAGCATCAAAGTGCAGTGTGAGCAATAAGGCAACTCATTTTCATCCGTGCACCATGCACGTCACCAACATCCAAAGAAATATTCCTGTGCCATTCCCAGTGCAATCCGAGATTAACTTGGATAAGGGCTTTTGAAGTCTTGAAAATTTCTCACCAGTGGTATTCCTAGGCAAGTCTTAACAAGCCAAATAGCAAATATATATCAGCTGGGAATAACTGGAAACATCTGTGGCTCCATCCATGTGAAGGCACATGTTTTATCTTCAAAACATTTTTTTACCACAATCTGTTAAACAATGATTTCCATTATTTTATGCACTCTAAAACATACAAAGTTTTCTGGATAGTTCATCAAGGAAGGATGAACTTGACAGTGATCCTGTTTTTAGCTATGAACAGTGCACCAGGTATTAAGACCTTTTCTAAAGTCATTTATGATGTTCCTGCTAATTTGTATATGGTTTCTAAGCCAATTTTAATAGTTGCAGAAAATAGTAAGCTTATTAACGTTTTTACCAGTATCCTCTGCTGGTATCCAAAAATTATTAATCATCAATCTGCTGTGAACTTAGAAGTGTGTTGGAAGTAAGGGAAATAAAGGAAAACAAACCCAGAGATTTTGGTTAGAGAGGCTTAGCTTAAATTTAGAGATATTAGTCCTCTGGAGGCAACCAGAAAAAAGAGGGATTACGTAATTGTTTGTTTTTCCCAATGTATTATTTGAAACTGTAACATATATTTTAAAATATAAAGTTACTTCAGTACTGTTATAAATATTTTTCCTTAAAGCTTATTTATTTACATTTATTTACATTTCCTTAAAGCTTATTTATTTACATTTCCTTGTAAAACACCCTCCATGTTCATCCTATTGGTCACAGGAAGTGAGGTATAATGTGTGTCTAACAAAGATGAGGCACACACACCTCCATTCCCCTCACCCACGGCAGACATGGCTAATCAATCATGGCATTCTTTGCCACTGAAGAACTCTGAATTTGGGGGTTTCAGGAATCCATTTCCCACCAGCTGTTGCTGGCATGCAGGCTGCAGTCTATTTCCTATCCTTGGTACCAGAGGAAAACTTCGGTCAGCATGTCCATCCTCCTTATTTACTAGCTGAGACAGCTTGGGAAAGGATTTTAACCCATTTTGCAGCTCTCACAGGACTGTTACACAAATCAAAAGACTTAATTCCTGTGAACACATTTTTGTAAACCAGGCAGTTGCAATCACAGGTTTGAAGAAATTGGTTTAATTCTTTTGTAATGAGAACAACACCATCTCTGTAGTTGATCTCCTCCCTGGCTTTTCCCATACATATTTATTTGATCTATTTTGAAAGTGTGGGTTTTTTTGTTTTGTTTTGTTTTTTTGTTTGTTGGTTGGTTTTATTAAAGCTGTGCACACCTGTATTCCTTTTGAATGCGATATCTGATACTAACTAGAAGAAAATGCTGCTGAAAGAGGAGAAGGCTAGAAGTCTCACACCTGGCTCATCATTACGGTGTTCTGGCAGTCCTCTCTGCTCGGCTGGAGGCTGTGTGATTAATATCCCTTCTTCCCAATTATGTGGATATTATACTCGTCTTCCTTTGGCTGTAGATGGAAGATATCTTATGTATGTGCGATGCAAATGTGGGCTTTGTGGATGCTAATTTCCAAATCAGCTAGGAGTTGATTGGCAGAAAACCGAACAATAGGGCAACAGGATTGCCAGGGGTCAGGAATCTGTGAAAGAAAGGCTGAATGAAGTTGGAGGAAATGAGCTAGAGAGATTTGGAGTGAGTCAAGAGCAGTAGCTGGGCGAGCAGCCCCTTGGGAAAGCAGATCCAAGTGAGATATACTGGAAGAGAGGGCAGCTTCAAAGACGGGTGGAAGCAAGGAGAAGCAGGAGTTTAGCAGACTTTACAGAAAACAGGGTGGAGCTAAGAAGACAACATTAAGCCAGAAATTGCCCAAACAGTATTCTCTGTCTACCACGTCCCCAAAATGTACCTGTTTGCACCTGGTTTGTATCCTGAGGAAGCTCGCCCTATTTTTGATTGTGACATCGTCAAGGTCAGGGATCCTGTCATTTGTTTCTCAGATGCCAGCAGGGGACAAGCCCTCAGGAAGAGTTCACTGGATCCGACTGAATTGAATGTTGGATTGTCTGGGGTGGGGCGGGGGGGGGCGGTTTGGGTAACATGAAAAGGGAAGGAGCAGAGATTCAAGACACCATTTCATCTCTTAAGCATGACAACAGAAGTGATCAGAATGACTATAGGAAAATCTAGTTGGAAGGCTTCCAATTAGTAGGCTGAGTAAATTGTTCACAAAAAGTCCCATTTTGGTTTCCATTCTAAAACTCTAGTTAAGATATTCTAGGTTTTCTGCACAGCAGATGCTTTCAGCCTTGAGGCTGGCTAGACAACAGCAAGCCCAAAGACAGAAAGGGTTTTGAAAATTCTCCAAGTAACTGGCTTGGGTACACTGTTGCTAACTGACTCTCAGGTGATCCACAGTCAGCACTGCCAAAGAAAAATGCCTCCTGGGCGGAAGAACAGGTGGAAAGGGGAGAAGTAAAGAGACCACATCCTGTGATGGTTTGCTCAAACTATTTCTCTACTCAAATAGGGACAATGTAGACAGCAGTGAGAGCCAGGAGCTTGAATTAGCAGTCACATCTGTTCTTAGGGACCCTCCTTCCATCTTCCTTGCACTCTAGCCACTTCGCATTTACAGATGATTTTACTTTGGGCAGTATGTCAGCCTCATGTCCATTATGTATGTTTTTTTTTTTTAGCAAATACCTGTGTGCCAAAATTTTTTGTGGGTATAATAAATCTACGAGTATAGTTTATACATACACACATTAATTCAACTAACTCTCTAAAACAGTCACATATAACTATCCATGCACATAAACTACATCCTTACAGCATCCTTGACATACAAGTGGAAGTTTTCCAAAATGTGTGGGTCCAGTAAAAAAGGAACTTCCTGTGAGGGGATGTTTTATATAAAACCCCTCTCTAACACATTATCTGTCCCCAAATGCCAGAAACGTTTTATTTTTCCTTTGTAAGAATGAATACTTCATCCAAACGGATTTTAAATAATGAAATGACTTTTTCCATCCCATCAAATCTAACTTATTTTTATTTCAAGATAATTAAAATGAACAGTTTTAGAGTTTAAGAGTATTGTAGAAGGGTGTATTTTTTTTTTAAGATTTTATTTATTTATTTGACAGAGAGAGACACAGCGAGAGAGAGGGAACACAAGCAGGGGGAACGGGAGAGGGGGAAGCAGACTTCCTGCAGAGCAGGGAGCCCGATGAGGGGCTCAATCCCAGGACCCTGGGACCATGACCGGAGCCAAATGCAGAAGCTTAACGACCGAGCCACCCAGGTGCCCCAGAAGGGTGTATTTGTTAAGAAGCGTCTTAGGTTGCACATATTCAAGGGAGATCACTCAATGCTTTAGCCAAAACATAATTCAAATATTGTGGAAATAATTTATGCTGACCTCCCAAAATTTACATTCTCCCTTCTTCTTGGCCATTTTGCGGTTGGGTGGGACTGTGTGACTAGTTCTAGACAATGAACTGTGAACAGTGAGCTTCTCTTCCCAAGGAGAAGCATTTTTATGCCAACATAGATACTCCAGATCTGTGCTCTCTGGCATGGCAACCCATGATGACTGAGATGGTGGCTTCTCCACCAACCTTGTTTTCTTAGTGACAGTGATTGACAGAACTTTCTACTGATCCATAAGAATAAACCTTTATGATTTTTAGTCACAATTATTTGTTAATGTTTACTAGCACAGAATACTTAGCTTACTGTAATTTATGTGTGTGTATGTATATGTACATGTGCATGTATATATACATTCTTCATTAAAAAAATCTAATAACTATCTATTAGTTATATAATCTAATACATATACATTCATATGGTTTTATTAGTTCCAGAAGAATTTTATGTGAACTAATTGATGTCATTCTATCCAGAACGTGTTAGGTCTTGTTATTCAAGAATTGTGAGTTAACATCACTCCCAAAGTAATTAACTGAAGAAAGACTCGAAAAGCAGATTCTATTTGCATTATTTGTCATTAGCAATCTTAAGGCTATGCACAGCAGTTTCAGATCTACACGGAGTCTAAGAAAAATATGTGTAGATCTGTACATATAGGATATGTAAGAAATAAATGAAGACACGTATAATAAAGTTGCCTTTATAAGTCCCATAAAATTATGCATTTAGGCTTAGTAAAAGTCCTTCTTGAGAAAGGGTGTGTTTGTTTATCTCTTTGTCATAATGATACAACATAATATGTTTTCTAAAAAGATTTATTTATTAGAGAGAGAGAGAGTGCACGAGTCAGGGGAGGAGCAGAGGGAGAGGGAGAGAGAGAGAAGCCCCAGCAGACTCCCTGCTTAGCAAGTAGCCTTACTCGGGGCTTGATCCCATGACCCCAAGATCATGACCTGAGCTGAAATCAAGAGTAGGATGCTCAACCAACTGAACCACCCAGGTGCCCCATAAAATAATATGTTCTATATAACAGACATATATTACAAATATGTTCTATAAATACTGGATACAAATACAAAGAAATCATTTATAACTCCTACTGCCCCCTGGTAGAGGGAGGGTTCTTTTTCAGTTTAATACTATGATAAATGGAGGCATGATAGTCCTAGAAGTAGAATTTATGAAAAGCTGAATTGTTTTGAAAAAGAAGAGAAATGATAGAAGGTGATGCATTGTACTTTGGGAAAGTCTAGGAAGAAGAATACGAGCAGACAGGAGAATTCCCAGGGCTAGCAGCACAGACAGAAAGAAGCCATAGGGGGAAAATATCTATTGAAATCTTATAAATTTAGGCATCATAGCATGTTAGTTGTGAAGACTCTCTGATCTTTTTGCAGGAATCTTTAGATAGGTCTTATTTACCAAAAGCCAAATGATCAAAATTTGACTGGTTGGATTTCTTACATAAAATGCTGAAGATACCAAAGCCTATTTACTGATTTACTGACTGATAACCTTTTACTATGCCCTGGTTTAACTTAACAAATCCCTATAGAAAGAGGCATTAATTAGAAAAAAGCAAATAGCCACACTTTATCCACAGATTCCATTTGTGTGCACTAAATCTGCATGGAAATAAAACAATTCCAGAAACACTAGAAGGAGTGGTTGGTGGTCAACACTTACTGCGAGGACAATCTGGAGGGAACTATGAGCCACTTCTATGTACTGGTACTCCAGAAAACACCCTGAGACCGTGATGTAGCGATGGTCTTCTGGGGCCCAGTCTGGTGCAGGTGTCACTGATGTCACCGTACATCCTGGTCCATTCTCCATCCACCAAGATCGGTGCATTGAAATATTAAAAGTCAGGATAAGGTCTGTTTCCTGCAAGAAGGCAATTTATAAGGATGAGAATTACTTTATAAATGTTAGTCAGCTTATTTGGGACTGACTTGGAGTTTTCCAATTGGACATGTGTGTTCCCCCCCGCTCACCGTTTTATGGACAGAAAGGAAGCATCCCAAGTAAAACTATTAGTTCCACTTGAAAGTTATGTACCTATAGATTCCATTTATGAGGTTTGCCTGACTACAATAGTATAAATAAAAATATTTATTAGTAAAATTATCAATGACTGACATTAATTGTAGCACTGAAGAGTCCTTACTTGTGGGGACTTAAAATATTACAAAAGGAATGATTTAAACTATTTAATCATGTGAAGTTCATCTTATTTTAAATCAGCTACTTTTTCAACCTCAGAATATTTACCTTTTACACATTTAAATATTAAAGTTGTATTTCAATTTGGCAAAATTTAACATAATGTGACTAACGCTAAAATTTGTAAGATTTTTACTCAAAACATAATATTACTTGGTCATAATATTTCTTAGGAAATATTAGCAAATTCTTCCAGGGTGGAGATAATAAGTCAACAACTCTTTAGATGAAGTTCAGCATGTTAGGTAATGGGTAGCTATAAATGGAATAGAAGGTAGATTTCTGCACTTAGCTTATAATCACATACACAAGCATGGAGCTATTAATAGCACATAGACACATGTTTTATTCCAGAAAGAAAATGACTAAAAGGAATACAGTAAACACATTCTGTTACACAGCAAGTCAAGAGAAGATGAATCCTAACAGAGAGGGTCAGTGGGAGAAAATGGAATTATTTCATTCTCAGTGGTAGTGCTACAAGATAATAAATACCAAATATCCTCACTCCCAAAACTAGGTGCTGGATTAACTAGGCAGATCCTGCATAGAAAATATCTTAAATCAGGTTTTGTGACCTTGAACACTCACTCACACCGAATGCCTGAAAGGATTCAGCTGAAGTGGCCAGGGGGTTTGGAGATTGGAAGGATGATTCCTCTGGAGTAAACTATGGTATGAGTCACATGATCTCCATGGAGGTAGCAAGTAAATTCTCTTTCTTTCCAGCCTATTGACAAAGGCTTCAAAGTATCTCTTGCAACCTGGGAGATACAGCAGACTAGTTTCTGGCTCAGGCCCGATAAATCTTAAAAGCAAACCTGTGGGTGGAGCTACCTGCAAATGGCCAAACAAAAAGTGTCTACACTTTTTTGATTACAATAATTGGTTTTTGAATGCTGAACCAGTCTTGTATATCTGACATAAATCCCTCTTGGTTGTGGTGTGTAATTCTTTTCGTACATTGTCGGATTCTTTTTGCTAATATTTTGTTGAGGATATTCGCATCTATATTTATAAGAGATATTGATCTGTAGTTTTCTTTTCCTGTAACATCTGTGTCTGGTTTGGGTATTAGATTAATGCTTGCTTCATGGAATGATTTAGAGAGTTTTCCATCTGCTTCTATCTTATGGAAGAGATTGTGGAAAGTTGGTATGATTTCTTAAATGTTTGGTAGATTTACCAGTGAACCCATTTGGGCCTTATATTTTCTGTTTTGGAAAGTTACTAATTATTGACTCAATTTCTTTAATAGATATAGGCCTATTAAAATTGTCTATTTCTTCTTGTGTGAGTTTTGGTAGATTGTGTCTTTGAAGGAATTTGTCTAGGTTAACTAGGTTATTAAATTTGTGGGCATAGAGTTGTTAATAATATTCCTTTATTACCCTTTCAGTGTTCATGGGATCTGTAGTGATGCCCCCTCTTCCATTTCTGATATTAGTAATTGGTGTCTTCTCTAATTTTTTCTTAGTGTGGCTAAAGGCTTATTAATTTTATTGATCTTTTTAAAGAACTAGCTTTTTTTTTTTTAAGATTTTATTTATTTGACAGAGAGAGACACAGCAAGAGAGGGAACACAAGCGGGGGCAGGGGGGGAGAGGGGGAAGCAGGCTTCCCACGGAGCAGGGAGCACGATGCGGGGCTGTATCCCAGGACCCTGGGATTATGACCTGAGCCAAAGGCAGACGCTTAATGACTGAGCCACTCAGGCACCCCTAAAGAACCAGCTTTTGATTTAATTGATTTTCTCCATTGTTTTTCTGTTCTGAATTTTATTTCTGCTTTTTAATTTTTATTATTTCTTTTCTTTCAGTTTACTTTGGTTTTAATTTGCCCTGCTTTTTCCAGTACCTTAAGATAGAAGCTTGGTTATTGATTTTAGATCTTTCTTCTTTTTCTAATATAAGCATTCAATTCTATAAATTTCCTTCTAAGCACTGCTTTCATTGCACTGCATAGTTTGATATGTTGTATTTTCATTTAATTTATTAAAAATAAGTTTTAGCTTCTCTTGAGATTTCTTTTTTGATCCATGTGTTATTTAGAAATGTACCTTTAATTACCGAGTATTTGGGGATTTTCCAGTTATCTGTTATTGATTTCTTTACTTTTTTGTGGCATATTTTTCACTATCTTTCTGTACTCTTTCTATGACTAATTCTTTTTAAACTGACCAACGGAACTGTAAAAACTCATTCAATATTAACTTCTACATGGTCTAACACTTTAGGACCAATCAGTTCCTTTTTTGTCTGTTTTTTTCCTGGGGGCCTCTGAACTGGAATCCCACAGTCTTCTGCTTTCATCAGTCTCTATGTAACTGATGCATAAATTTGGACATGGGGCTTCACTTAATATCATCAGTTCTCTCTTATGTGGATCCCCAGTTTCCTGTATTTGACTAAAATGACCTTAACATTCCCCTCAGTTTGACTAAACAGGTTTCTTCCTGAGTACAGCCCTTGACCTCACTTTCCTTAGAGCATTTTCTTTAGAAAACTTGCAATTATAAATTCTTCCTTTGCTCCTTCAAGATGTAAATTTTCTAAAACTCAGGAATGTCTTTCTCCAAGGCCCTGGAAGCCATTTCTTTGAAATGTAATTGTCAAGAAAGATAGCATCATCATCTCTCAGTCTCTGTGGATGGGTAGAAGCCTAACCCTGAGAAGCAACAATTAACAAACACAGATGGCCTAATCACATTGACTAACCTCCCCCACAATGTCCTTGGGTACTTTTCCATTAGCTCAGCCCAGGCTTTACAAATCCTCCCAACTTTTGTTTTAGTGGAATTGATTTTAAGTTCTCTCTCTTGTTGCGACAGTCATAAATAAAATCTTTCTTGCCTGTTTAACTTGGTGTTGAGCTCAGTTCTACACTGACATCTCTCTTCCCTACTACAGCAATTAAGAAAACCTGTCTTGCCATTTTTAACAATGGTCCAGTGCAATTTTTCTTAACAGCTCTCATGTCTCTTACTAGGTTTTCTCCCTTGTTTCGCAGAGTACAAAATTCACTAGTTTCCTAAGAATAGGTGAATGATGTTAAGCTTTATGTGTTTTCATTCAGCTTTTATATTAATTGATTGATATTTTGGCTGGATATATGCCTCTTGGTTGAAGATGATTTCCTCTCAGAGTGGGTGAATATTCCTCCATTATCTTCTGGTTTCTACTATAACAGTTAAGAAACTTGATACCATTTTGTTTCCTGCAATTTTCAATATAACCTGTTTTCTTTTTTCTGTTCTCTTACATTATCTTGTTTTCAATAGTGATATATTTTAAAACATGGACAAGTGTAGAGGGTATTACAGCAATATCATTATACCCATCACTCAGCCTCATTAAATCTGATGCTACATTTGCTTGCTGTCATTCTTTTCATAAAATTTTATACATATAAATAATACTGCCTCTGTACTCCTCCTAAATATTATTTCCCTCTCTCTTCCTCCATAGATAATTACTATCATGATTTTGGATTAATAGTCTCATGAAAGTTTTTTATAGTTTACATATTCATTAATAACATATTGTTTTTAGGTTTTAAAAATGTGTATATTCACTCACGTGGAACTAAAAAAACCAAAACAAATGAATAAACAAAAAAACAAAAAGCAGAATCAGACTTGTAAATACAGAGAACTGGTGGTTGCCCGAGGGGAGGGGGATGGGTGGGATGGGCAAAATGGGTGAAGGGGAGTGGGAGATTCATTCCAATTATGGAGTGAATAAGTCATGGGAGTAAAAGGTACAATATAGGCAATATAATCAATGGTATTGTAATAGCATTGTATGGTGACAGATGGTAGTTACACTTGTGGTGAGCATAGCATAATATGTAGAGATGTTGAATCACTATATCATACCCCTGAAACTAATGTAATATTGTGTATCAACTATACTCAAATAATACATTTAAAATGAAAAAAATAAAATAAAATGTGTAAAATGTGTATACCTTCTGACTTATTTTGGCTCCATATGATATTTTTGAAGTTTACATAAGTAGAAAATCTTCTTGTAGCTTCAGATTCTGAAGTTCTATAAGCAGTACTTTGATGGCTTTTTTATTCATTTAGTTTGTAGAGCATTTGGAGGGCCTTTCAATCATGAGACTGTTCCTTCCATTCCAGAAAACATTCTTGCATTTTATCTTAAATTGTTACCTCCTCTCTACTTTTTCTGTTACTGTAGAAATTTCTCTTAGTCAGACATTTGACTTCCAGGATTGACCTCTTACATTCTTATTTTTCTTTCCCATTGTTCATATCTTACATTTCTCTTGACTCTCTTGGAGATTTTCTTTACCAACTCCTCACAGTGTTATATTGAACTATATATTTTATTTTTAATATTTTGAATTTTTAAGAGTTAATTATTCTTCTCTAATCATTGCTTTTGTATAGCTAATATTTTTTTATTGTTTCTGGGCTATAACTTTTCTTAGTTTTCTGAATTATTACTTTTTAAAAATTGTGCTTCCCACATTGGTTTTGATTTATTTGAGTTAATTATTTTTACTAAACAAATAAGTAGATAAATAAGTAAATAATAATAAAATAATTATCAAGCCTCTACTATGTGTCATATGCAACATTCCTGCCTTTATGAGTGTTCATCATGCAGTAGCGAAAATGAACAACAAATACA